AGGAGTACATGGACAAACCCTATGGGGAGATACTCGCCATGGTCACTAAGTTTGGTGGAGGTCTCAAACACATTGTTGCTGACCACGAGGGGAAGTACAATGCCATCACCAGGTTCATGGTGGATGAGGAAGTGATCCGCGATGATGCAAAATTGGCTGTGGTTGAACTGGAACAAGAACGAAAGCAAGTTCGGTTCGACTTGAACACTGCAACAAGGAACATCGTCACTGCGGACGGCTACTACAACCTCGCTGTTCTCATCAACTCCGTGGAGACGCCCTACCAGACTGTGACAGACACGAGAATCCAACAATGGTATACGGTGAATCAGGACTACTACCACAAGTTGCCAATGTCGGGTAGAGCACCTGACCAATCAGACCTGTTGGCGGAGCCTACGTTATGTAGGGTGTGCAAGCTGATGTACATGTTCGCGAAACACACTGGATATGGACTACGGACCTACAACCAGGAATGTGCTGCGAACAACGATGGCGCCACGCCACTCAACGTTCACCAGCTGGCCATGATGATGCGCACAATGCCTCAAGGCATGGGACACCCGCTCGCCTTTGCGATGAACTCGCTCCAGGCGTTCAGTGTCTGTCTCCACGTGCTTCATTCCTACGTATCATGGGTTGATCCAGACACTGGACACCCGCATTACAGATGGTCCAATGATGTGCTCCCTGATTCCGACTACACCACGTACTCTTTCCTCAAGCACCACGTGGATGCTGTATGTGCAGATCAAGACAGGAACGGTTTCCAATTGCCGGATGCGTTCCGTAGCTACACCTGGAATCAATGCGGAGTTGAATCTGGATATGTGGTCGACTGCTCTACCAAACGCGCCACGTTGAGCATATGGGAAGCAGAATTCCAACAGATGGAGGCACCAAGACCGCTTCTGCAAGATGATGGCCTATTTCCGCCCAATCTTCAACGGCATCCTAGCTGGGTGTACTCAACGGGGAGGGTGGCGATGCCTACGGCAAGCAACCTCGAACCGGAAGGAATCGTGCACCCTGAGCATGGAAGAACGCCGGGACAACCACAAGGATCCGCTACCGAGCCTCGAGCCACTCCTAGCCACGGACCAAAGAGGGCAAGGACGGACGAGGCAACGGCATCGGCGTCATCATCTTCTGCGGCACCTCCTCCACAACCACCGACTTCGCAACCGGAAGAGGAACCATCGCAACCGACATGGGAGGAAGCTCCAATCCCCGCTGGCGCTCAGGAAAGTTGGTACCATTACGTCAACATCGATGAAAAGGGCTGTCGCTCAAGCTTGCTGGCGACGACCCGTGATCAAGACGAGTACCCACCTACCATTGATGAGACGCCAAAGTTCGTGGCCAACCACGACGTGGGGACCACACCGATTCAGCATTACGTCAGAAGACTGGTGACCTACTTGGCAAGGATTCGTTCCGTCTCTCAAAGTGACGACAAGGGTCTCAACCTGAAGGTCTACGTGAAGCTGAGCACGAAGATGTGGTTACGGATGTACTCGCGGCTATACCATGCATTGGCATTGGTGTCGTGCGTGCATCTTCCTTCTCCTCCAATGCTTACCTCGGCTGTGATGATCGAGGCAGACAGCGATCTTGTCGACAACGATGAAATTCCGGCAGAAGCAAGGATCAATACCATGAACACGCTGAACGGATTTCGCAATAGTTTGGGTATGGGTGGCAAGCCTGATGCCGCGACTATGCGCTCTCAATGCACGATCCTCGTCCAAGACTTTGACATGGTCGCAAGGACCAGAGGGTCATCGCATACAGTGAGGGAGAATCTCGTCATGCATGGATGGAGTGAGATCTACATTGTGAGCCCGTCGATCACCGCAGGTGCCAACTACAACTTCCAAGTCACGAAGGGATCGTTGGAATCTGTGAATGAGACATTGGATGGCTTGACTGAAGAGCAGCTTGCAACCGTCACATTGCACTACCATCTGTCTCTCCAAGCGATCCTCATCGAGAACATATCATTTCCGATGAGTGAGGTCGGAGACGGAGCAGCGATTCGTGCTGATTTGCAGCGACAGCTCAAAGCCACGTACGTTGACCCCATCATTGCGGCAGGGAAGCGTACCACGCGCCCTCCAATTGTCAACATCAACCACGACTTACGGTTCGTAGGAGCAGCCAGCAATTACCTTCGACAGAAAGCTTCTATGTTCAACGGTTTCCACGCGCTGGGAATGTACATTGAACTGGAGTTGCGGGCCCGAGCATGTGTGGTGATTCATGGATCTTCGTTTTGGTCAAGAATGTACAGTCAGGCGAAACATGCATCGTCGGGCGTGCATACATTGTCAGTCGAGAAGGTACCACCACCGGACAATCGGGTCAGGTTCAAATTGGGCCTAGCTATCTATGAGAAGCAGCTGTTTTGCGAGAAGATGGTATCCACGTGCTTTGTTGAGGCATCGAAAGTTCGCTCATGGGACGAGACAGTCAGAACCGACTTAGTCGCTCACCCGTCGCTTGTCGAGATTTGGGAGGACAAGAGTGAAGTCAAGACGACCACCAAGATCTCGCAGACATGGTTTACGGGGGAACAGCAGCAACAGATCAGGTCGGGTGCCCAGGGTGACACGGTCGCTGAGTCGTCCACAGTCACCTGGCAGGATTTTGACATCGCCATGACCGTTCCCGAGGCCTACTACGACAACCGGCACTACTGGTTCAGGATCGACACCTATGCGACCCCGAACACTGGTTATGTCAAAGGGAGAACGTTCTATTGCTCTGGGTGCGAAGGAATGAAGTTGGCTGAGTGCTACGCACAAGCCTTCTTCAAGCCGACCGGAAACGGGTATCCTGGGCACTGCATTGGGTGCGCGCATACTTCAGCTTTGAAGATGCAGCATCAAATCAGCTCCTTCAATGACTTGATCGCGTCCCAGAAGTACACCTTGGCTTGCGCAAAGCACCTTTATGACCTGAGGCTTCAATTCGTGGATCCTCGCGTGGACATCAAGGAGTTCCTCAAAGTTTGTGCAGAGATGTTCTATGAAGACATCGGCAAGACGGTTTCTCACTACGGTGGTCTCCGAATCACAGCCAGTCAGGCCATCGAGTACGCGGCATGGGGAAAGGCCAAACAGTTGGCGTGGGACAGAGGATATGACTCCGAAGGCAAGACATGCTACATCTGCTACTACGACGCCGGGAACTGCGCTTATGCTGGTTTCATGAGGATGCTTTTGACTCCAGAGGAGCGCCAAGAATGCTACCGAGGGTCAGTCTTGCCCAAAGAAGAGCTCCTGGGTGACACATTGGAGCTGGCGCTCGGGCTTCTTACGATTGCAATGAGACACCCAAGTCATTTCATGAATTGGGGTGGCCTTGAGGGAGCAAAGGCGTGCGCGAGAGGAATCGAAAGGTCATTCTTCCGCTACGCGTCGGCCGAAGCCATCGAGCTGATCACGGTTGACTCCCCGCGCAAAAGGACACCGCCCAAGAAGAATGAAGCAGTCGCTGAGATCGTCAACAACATGTCCGCTGACCTCGTGATTGATTTCACAGTGATCGTCGATGGTGATATCTAACCCGTAGAGATTGCGAGAACCGACGAGACACAGGCCGCTGACAACGTCACGGACGATCCAGGGTTCTCCGTTGCTCCACCAATACCTGCACAGGATGTGGATGTGGATGCGCAACCCGAAGAAGAACAAGGTGCAGAAGACCCTGATCCCAGGCAGATGGTTCGTGAAGGATTTGTCGCGCAGCTTCAGGACTATGTGGGAGTACTCGCTCAGGGCGAAATGTCGGTCGG